AATGTGCAGCAGGTGTGGATTGCTGAGTCCACCAAGCCTACAATGTAGGCAACAGCCACTACCTAGGAACAGATTCTCCCCAACATGGCAATTGTATACAGAAGTGGATTGCAAATGGCTACATAACGATCATAAGCCATGACAGCCAACGTGAGACATTCCACATCTGCAAAAGCCCCGAAAAAATACATCTGAATGGCACATAAATTATATGGAATCCTCTTGCTCACACAAAAAATCAGCCAGCATCTTGGGTGAGACAGTGGAGGAGTAGCAAACATCACAGAAAGACAGATTGCTCAGGAAATGATACATGGGCGTATGAAGTCTGGGGTCCATCTTGATCAGCAGANCAGCCAACGTGAGACATTCCACATCTGCAAAAGCCCCGAAAAAATACATCTGAATGGCACATAAATTATATGGAATCCTCTTGCTCACACAAAAAATCAGCCAGCATCTTGGGTGAGACGGTGGAGGAGTAGCAAACATCACAGACAGACAGATTGCTCAGGAAATGATACATGGGCGTATGAAGTCTGGGGTCCATCTTGATCAGCAGAATCGTTCCTAGATTAGCAACCACAGTTATGCTGTAAACCAGGAGAAAGAGCACAAAGAGCCCCTGCTGCATATCCTGCCTGCTGGAAAGTCCTAAGAATACAAAGTCTGTAAAGCCAGTGCAGTTCTGGACAGTCATCACTTGGATCTGGAAATCCCTGGTCTTGTAAGAAGGAAATAAAAGTGGAGGGTTAACATCATCTTCCTATATTAACAGTTAAACTGCTAGTTCTTTGTTTTAATTATTTTTATTATTAAAAAAGATAACCAATGCAAATATTTTTAAATGTACACTGAGTCTAGAGAAATACATCAATTTAATGTAAATCAATAAAATGATAATTTCTCTTACATTTCACTGTACAGGGGTTAAAACGCATTTTCATCCAAATTAAATCATGCTATTTCCATGCAAACCTATGTAGCATTTGTGATGATTGTTGCTCCTGCTGTTTTATAGATTAAGAAACTGATGTCCTCTGAGTTCAAAGTAATCATTCTTACAATTAATTTGTCCAAATAACCTACAATGTCTGATGATTATTGTCTTCAGTGTCATAGAAATGTTGCTATTTTCTGTAATAGAGGGTCATAATTAAGTGAGAAGTACAGGTAATGAATATGTCTCATTATCTTTCCCTCAACGTCCAAAATTGTGGAGCGGGCAGAGCCATGGCCTGCTCCTGGATATTACATTCCCCTACTGCCCACTTTAACTTCTCAGGTCCTATCCAGCTTCAATAAACAAGGCTGCATCCCATTNGGGAGGTATAAAAAGACTGTCCTTGCAAAACTGGATGAGCCCATTTCTACTCTTCTTTCATTTAGAAGGAAGACTAAGACTAATCATTTCTGCTCCCTGAACACGGTGGCAAGTATTGAAAAATACCTTCTACAAAAACCTATGTCAAAGAACATAAACTGTAACTCTCAGAATCTGTAAATATTTTTAGATAGAAAACACCATTTCATTCAGAGCATGATTCAGGGCTGACTGCTTTTTTCAGAGCATCCTTCACATCCTTATTTCTTAAGCTGTAGATCAGTGGGTTTAACATAGGAATGACAACTGTGTAGAACACAGAGGCCATTTTGTCCGTGTCCATTGAGTAACTAGAGCTCGGTCGGAAATACATGAACAGGAGTGTGCCGTGAAACACAGCCACAGCCGTTAAGTGGGAGGCACACGTTGAGAAGGCTCTGCGTCTGCCTGCGGCTGAGTTCATTCTGAGGACGGTGGCTATGATGTAGCTGTAGGAGAGGAGGACAGTGACGATGCTGCACCCCACAACACAGCCAATGAACGTGAACATCACTATCTCATTGATGGATGTATCTGAGCAAGAGAGGGCTAGCAAGGGTGGGATGTCACAGAAAAAGTGATTGATGACATTGGAATTGCAGAATGACAATCGAAATGTGCAGCAGGTGTGGATTGCTGAGTCCACCAAGCCTACAATGTAGGCAACAGCCACTAGCTGGGAACAGATTCTCCCAGACATGGCAATTGTATACAGAAGTGGATTGCAAATGGCTACATAACGATCATAAGCCATGACAGCCAACATGAGACATTCCACATCTGCAAAAGCCCCCCAAAAATACATCTGAATGGCACATAAATTATATGGAATCCTCTTTTGCTTACACAAAAAATCAGCCAGCATCTTGGGTGAGATGGTGGAGGAGGAGCAAACATCACAGACAGACAGATTGCTCAGGAAATGATACATGGGCGTGTGAAGTCTGGGGTCCATCTTGATCAGCAGAATCATTCCTAGATTAGCAACCACAGTTATGCTGTAAACCAGGAGAAAGAGCACAAAGAGCCCCTGCTGCATATCCCCCCTGCTGGAAAGTCCTAGGAATATAAAG